GTCATATACTGGCAATCTAAATGTGACCTTAAAATTGACCTTTGACCTACTTTTCACCATGAACTGAACTTTGCAAATTTTGCTTCCCTTTTATCTCCAAAACTGGCAGAGATAGGTCCATAGTCTCTATTGAACTTGAATAGGAAGTCATATACTGGCAATCTAATGTGACCTTAAAATTGACCTTTGACCTACTTATTATCATGAACTGAACTCTGCTAATTTCTTTCTCTTTTAACTCCAAACCTTGCAGAGATAGGCCCATAGTTACTATTGAAGTTGAATAAGAAGTCATATACTGGCAATTTACTGTGACCTTGGAATTGACCTTTGACCTACCTTACGATGAACTTAACTTTGATTGTACCATTTTTAGTTATATATATATATTTTTTGCATATTTTGAAAATTCTTGTTGATTGCATTTTTACAGCTTGTCAAGCACAAGACTGGTGGCTGTGTTCCTTATTTTGTGTATGTGGGGGTCTATACGAATGCGCTTGCTCCAGCTGGTGGTACAATATTCGGAGGCGGTATCGCCTCTCTGATCCTCTAGTTAACCTTTGGGCAGGTCCTCGAGCAGATACCTAGCCATGTGACTGGCCGTGTGACCATCCTATTGGGCCATTGATACTCTTTTCTCTGTAGAAGATTGGATTGTCATTGTTTTACATATTAAAGAGATAATAACTCTTCGTGTGAGGTCTATATTTCACTATAAAAACATTGTGAATAACTCCTAGAAATATAATATATTCTGTTTTACGACAAAAACAGCAGTTATAGCTATTATTCTGATATCTGAGCTGTCTTCAAACCACGTGACCTCCACTGATGGCTATACTCTGTTATAATCTCTGAAGAGATTTTAACAAAAAAACAAACTTTTTAGAAGAAAAAACAGGGACTAACTTTGAATGTAAAAATGGATTCATTAACCATTGGTAAGTATGGGAAAATTGTTCTTTACTCCAGGAAAATTAATTTTTTGTCCAAAACTAAGAGTTATTATCCCTGTAAGCACTCATTTTTTACTAGTCTTTTTCTCTTCTGTGAAATCTGATTGTTTGTTTGGACTCACCTGAAAAGTTCAGCTTAAATTCAGTTTAAATTAATTGGCAGCAGAGCAAGTAGAGTCATCAGTATTGTAGCTGCACTCAGTCAAAAAGGGAAGTATCCAAATACTGATTGAATTTTATTTAATTCAAACGTAAAACTGAAAGAAAAATAAAATAAAACAAAATAAAATAGATAACAGAACAAAAAATGTAGCGAAAAGTAAAGAAATACTGAAAACAAATTAAAATACAAAATAACCTAAAAATTGATAACAATTTACACAAAGTACATATGAAAGAGTAAGAAAAAGGGTAGACAGAAACGTTGCAAAGACCCAAAGCTGGAGAAATTTATGTTAGCGTTGAAATAATTTGCCTTATCCCCGACCAAGTGTGCTAATATTGTTATAAAAGGATAGATCATAGAAAACGTTGAAAGACCCTAAAGACAGAGAAGTTTACGTTATCGTTGAAATAATTACCTTTTCCTCCGACTGGGTGAGGTAAGATGGTGTTGTTAGATTCCCTGTGTTGTTCTGTGTACGAAAGTGAAGTGAGCAAAAAGAAATAGGGAGAAAGCCTTATATAAGCTGTGAAATGAAAACTGTTCAGTGCAAGGGTGTGGTACAGGCATGTGATGGTGCAGTTACGTAAGTGCAGTGGCCTGTAACATTATAATTAGTAGAGAGAGAGAGAGAGAGAGAGAGAGAGAGAGAGAGAGAGAGAGAGAGAAAACAAGGAAGGAAAAAGAGAGAAAGAACGGAAAATGTACTTTACATGAATAATAAGTAAACAAAGAATAAACTCAAATATAAAAAAAGATAAAAATATCGTGGACAGTTACAAGTATTATGTAGTATGCCTGAATGAATAGTGTGGAGATACCGGTATACATAGAGCAGTCTGGCTGACATTTACACTGGCATGGTACAAGTTTTAACTCCTTCATGGATTGGTTGGTAGATGCAAAATAAATTGAGATTATGTGAAATATTTTATTTAATAAAAGACGTAACATTTTATCATTTGTCAGCTTTTAGATCCTCTTGTCCCAAAGTGTTGCTTTTGAAAGTTGGAAAATAACCAACAGAAAAATGTACTTAATACAAATAGGTCACTGAAATTGTTCAATAATGTTCAGCTGTGTATTTCAGGTATCAGGGCAGACTGCGCATGGAACAAGAGCAGTTGTATGTGAAACCTTCGATAGTACCAGAACCTGAAGATATTCCCCTGGTCAAGTGCAGACGAACTCCAGTAGGGGCGGATCCAGAAACTGTCTTCATTTGTCGTTATGTCTATGACTTTAGACAGAAAAGAATTCTCAAAAATCCAGTATGAAATTTTTTGCAACTAGTGATTTTATTTTTAAGCTTTTATTTATTTATTTTTTTGTTTCCTTTTAAAAAATCAGCAGCTTTATTTATATAAGTATTATTTTTACTATTATAAATAGTCTCTCTCTGTAGACAAAGTGGAAATAGTACATGAAAGACACAAACTTGTAGTTTCCACTCTGAAAATTGTTTTGAATCTTACATAAGAGTTAAAAATGATTCCAGTAAACATTTGACATCAGTAAATTGTTACTAGTACAGTTTTTTTAAAAGTATTTCATAATACAAAATGTTTGTTGTCATTTTGTCTAGTTTTTTTTTTTTTTTTTTTGACAGCTAAAAAGAATTTTTTGAAGCCACCGGTGATTGATGTTCTTAAAAGTACTGAAATACTTTCAAGCTTATTCAACTTTTATTAGTGATTTTATGACATCAATTTTGATGAAATGTTTTCAAGACAGAACTCCAGTGGACAGGATTTCTATGTGACATTTTTTTGGATACAGTTTAGAATTGTTTATGCTGTGAAGCACAAGAAGTTTTTGTAGATGGTGAAGTTTTTGAACTGAAGATATAACAGTTGTTGTGAAGTACTGAAGTACTATCAAGTGGAAAAGTATGATTTTGTACTGCTTTAAACAAGAGGGGGGTGGGGTGGTGGGGGGGGGGGTGGAGGGAATAAAGGTTTACAACTTAAATGCCATGTTTTAAAAATCATGGTTGAGTTTTTGGGCATGATGCTACTTTCCTTTGCATTAACTTAAATAGAAAGTATTGCAGAATTATAGCGATTTTTGTAGTTGAATCATAAATGCTGATGCAAACTAGAATGATATTCTCAGAAAATGGAAGGCTATTTCTTTTTATTGAATGTTGTTCAGTAACAAGTTTTTAATGGCATAACCATTTTGCTAGCATCATTTTCTGTAGACAATATTAACCCTCATTCTTTGCAAGGATTATTTGAGGTTATTTCATTTTGCCTCGTGTTTAAATTCATTTCTGTAATACGATGCCATTTTTCTTAAAATTCAGTAAAAAATAGGTTGGTGCTTATTAAGGAATTGGGGATTGTTTTCTTTACATAGTTCCTAGTTGAAGTCTATATGCTCAGCATTAAGAAAAACTATTGTGCACAATTTCATTATGAAAATCCAATATTTATGCAATTAAGTAGCCAATTAGTAGGACATTTTTTTCTTTATTTAATACAAAAATGCGAATACAAGATGAAATTTTTACCTGTCCACCAATTTTGTGCAATTTTCTTCAGCGTGCCTCTCTAGTGCTGCATGTTGTATATTGTATGGAACAAAATGCCAGTTTCAGATTAATGTTAGAGTCCCGTGATAAAAAGCATAAACATATAATGTATAGGGATGTTGTATCAACATTACCCAGTCTGGTGGCTAATTTCTACTTTATTTAATCAGAAATGTCCATCTGAGGCAGTTGTAATGAGGTGTAATATTAGTTGATCATTGAACATGAAATTTGCTTTAGCAGTAAACTTATAATTCTATCTTTATTATCACACCATTTAATATGGCAGCTTTTGCACGTGATCAATTTGATACGATTTGATTGGCTTTGCTTTCTTGTCAGTTTCCCCCCATCCTGTGATGTTTTCAACAGATAACAACTTTGTTGTGCTGGTTAAGTGAATGTCCATGTGAGGATCATAAAATAAAATATTTCAGAAAAAAAAGGAATTTGTGTTTGAGCATTGGGATAAGGAAAACAATGGGAAGGGGGTCACCATAAAGCAAATATTCAACACCCGTTTTCTTTGTGATCTTTCTTCGACTCTTTATAGATATAATTTATGATTGTTGACAAATAAGTGCATAAAATGTCCAAGCACTGAAGTAAACAAGCATTTTGTCACAGCAGAATTTGGTTGGATAAAAACAGGCCCTCATTGAAGACAATACAGTAGTCCACATAGCTGGCAAACCACTTAAATCCCTCTATGCAAATAGTAAACCAAAACCAGGGCTGGAACAAACCACAGTATACAGATTCTGAATCACAAAATAAGATAACACCACATATATTCTATGAATACTTATCATGACCCGACTTGGACAAAGCTAGTTTTTAAACAATTTCTTGTCAAAGAGAAAACCCCAATTTGGTTTAACTACACAAAAGAGCCTGCAAAAAGTACTATCAAAACAAACTATCTTATGACTTTGAGACAAATAAATACTTGAATATGACACAGAAATTGCATCAATTCTTAATAATAATAGCTAAAATATTTATCTACAGCATTCAGCACATTGTCCTTCTATTATTCAAACCAAGAGCACAGTGTACAAAGAAAACTTGCTGAAATATCAAGGAGGATAACATTTAACTCCGCTTCAAACTTATTTCACAATCCATTTCTCATTCCATATCACCTCAATGCTTTTAAACCAAAGCATGCAAAATATAATTTCATTTGTTAAAAAAAGTTTCTTAAGACTGGAAAGTTCCTCCGCATTTTTTCTACAGTGAACAGTTCACAGACATACAGTTAAAATATTGCACCATTGCCTCAAGCTTGGCATCCTCAGAACTGCGTTATAAAAATATTTTGGTTGTCCATAAACTGTGGATTCTCCAATCTACTTACTAATTGTCACATAAATATATTTCTTGATGGCTTGATAAGAATCCCAACATTCTGTATACAGAGCAATCCAAGTTTTATGCATCTCCTAATAAAAATATATACAGTTTGTTCTTCATAAGGAACTGAATCACCGATTTGTAGTGCCTGTCATAATCTTTGTGTTCATCATTTTCTTTCTTTTTTAAATCAGATCAAAAACATTGACCTCCATGGCAAAATGGTATTAAATAAGTCTTGAATTTTTCAAATACTGTATCAGGGTCTTGTAGACAAAGCCATACTGCCCTACAGTCTGCACCATGTGCATTCTTTGTTCACGGATCTTGGTCAGAACCCCAGGAATATCCACTGGCTGTAACAGATAACAAAAACAATTCTTTCTTCAAAATCTTATCACTTTTTCTCATAAATTATTGACAATAATAATTACGGATCATGTAACTGCTCTTATGGGTCATAATCCACCCCTCCCTTAATTACTTATTTAATGAATTCTGAATTGCTTCAGAATGACACGTAAAAAAATTCAATTACTGAACAGCTGCTCACTACAAGTGGCTATAAACAATTATAACTTTCGCTGCTGTAACATGCAGAAATGGACAAAAGTTGACAGTGCTAAAAATACTATCAAATTTACTATATATGCATATTTTGTAATTCATTACAAGATAAATATAAGCAATTTATTTGAGGAATACGTCTTCTTCACATGGGAAACCTGCATAACACGACTTTTTTTTTTTTTTTTTTCTACTTGAATGTATTACCTCATTGAATTCCAAGCAAGCCTTCATAACTTCTGTGAGGATGACCACTCCTGTCCGGCCAACCCCAGCACTACAGTGGACAAGGATGGGTGTCCTGTAGCTGTCCGTCCTCTCTCCCAGGGCATGTCTATGTACAGACTCAATTTCATCAAGATATGCTGCAACGAAGAAAAAGAGAGACATTTATTATTTCAACAAAGCACAACGAAAAACTTCATAACTATAATTTAGACTTCATTTTGACCAGGTTTGGAGAACATACATATGATATTTGGGGTGGTCCCTTGGTTTTTATGTTGGCATGTTTTCTTCTGTTAAAACCATACTGTGACACTGGTCTTTTATTATGTAAATGTCATTTAACGGACCTGTGATATACTGAAGAATGGTGTTTCTGACTTCTGCTATAGGGAATGTAGAGAAAAGACCCAGGTAAGGGGTATGTTGCATAACATGCATGTTTGCCATATACACCACATTCGGACATTTTTTTTTTTACATCCACCACTGTATAAGATCAAGCAAAACAATATCTTGATTTAATCATGTTTGCTCCAGTTTGTGCAAATGTCCATTGCTGAATTTTGTGATTCTGAGCATAGAGAAAAAATTATTGGGATTTTTTCTTAAAGCTCATAACTCATAAGGATAACAGAAAATGTTAAACCTTAGGTTGTTTCTTTTCACATTAAAAACACAGATTGTGCATATTAATTTATTGGCAGAACTAGAATAACAACTGGGGCTGGTTCTACAAAAAAAATCACAACTGAAAATTGGGCTCAACTCTGAAATCAAAATTTCATGCTATAAACATATGTACTTACATAAAAACCCATATATGTCATCTGGGCATCCATGGTCAGGCCAGTCTGTGTATTGTAAGTGCCAGACAGTCTTGGTCTGTTTGGACTTGACATGCCTTACTTCTAAATTACTGGTCACATAACACAAGGAATCATTGGCAAACTTAAACTTCACTTCGTACTGAAAAGAAACACAAGGGAAAGGAGTCAATAATGACAAGACTGCACAAGATATGAGATTAAACAAGGCAGCAAAGCTGTCAAATGTACAGACAAAGAACAGAAAATAAAGATGCAAATAAGTGAAAAATTAAATTTTCACAAAAAACTGTTAAATTGCCAGAAAAATTTACCAAACAGACTGCGTTGCCTATTGAAGCTGTATTTTAGTCCCATGTTTCTTTCCTATAAGTTTGAGAACAGTAAGTGACATGATTTCCCTTAAATGGTCATCATAGGAGCAGTGCCCAAAACAGGGGTTTCTTCAAATTTTGATACAACATTAAATAATGTTTAACAGCATAATGACAATCAAATGTTATTAATAAAATATTAGTAACATATCATTCAGAAAATGTGACAAGCAAAAGTCTTCAAGATCATGGAACTTTAAAGTCACACCTTGAAAATGCCAATATGTGAAAAATTAAATTTTCACAAAAAACTGTTTAACTGCCAAAAAAAAA